GAATGTATTCTATTCGTTATTGTTCTTCACTACAGCTAGCGTTATTGTTTTCATTTTCGAGCATTCGACTGACTGACTGACCTCTTCAGGCAGATCACATTACGTTGAATGCATTCATTTCGGCGCCTTTTGCGAATGTTTTTTTGAGATTCGTCGGAATGATGAAAAGTCGATGAAGCCACAATAGTATTGATAAATAAGTGAACAAAAGAGTTTTTGCAATTCAGAAGTCTCATATCCCACTAACAGAGGATACCTGCTCAATGGGTGTTGGTGGAAGTATAGAATGCGATCAGATTTCTGCATTCAATACAAAATCGACTATTTATTCGATTGATGCAGTTCATATTCATAATATTACGATTGTTATTTTTGGTACTCAACATGGACAATTAATTCAGGTTTTAAAAATTCATTTGCTTTGCACAAAAATTTGTGATATTATCGTATGAACGTTTAGTTGGAAAGTACTTTTACTTTCCAACGATATGACACAGTCTTTTGCGTGCTCATCTTTGAATGCAGAGCATTGCAACAACTAATGATACGGTTTAAGCTTCGTTCAAAAGGATCAACTCTGGAATATTATAATGAAGTGACGATCGGCATTGATCCGATAACATCGCTTCGATTCGTTGATAATCATACTTATTTGGCAATTATCAACAAAAAGGTTATCGATGCGTTTTTGTGATGATCATTACTGTTGTCATTTGTGTGTTTGAATTGGGCAATAAACATGTAAAGAAATGAGCAATTGAAGATCTTTTGAGGATGGATGAGAGGATGTTATTAGGAATGACCTAGTATCGATAATGCAATAGCTGAGATCGTTAAAGCTTACGAGTGGTATATTTTTGTTGTACATTCGAATTGATATTGTGAGTGTGGATGTACATTCGTGTGTGCATATATGGAATGAAAGAGCAAATAACGCGAATAATTCAGCTAATTAAACAGCACATTTCCTGTCATATTAAGCCTTTGAGGAGCATGCAAGACAACATTCTTAATTGGATTCATCCATTCGCTTTCATCGGACACACCAAAATGAGATGACATTCTTATCCGTTTTACGAAACAATAACATTATTTAAAATGACAATTTCTCTATTTATCGACAATCACGATGATATTGATTCAATACATCTTACATACCAATAATGGTGACGATATCAGCAACGATTTCGATGATAATTTTCAATTTCAGATTCTGAAGTTGTCAATTAGTGATTGTGAATCAAAGTTATCGTGTGAAGAATGCACTGCAAGTGAAGATGTCTTGTGTGGGTGGTGTTTGTTCGAAGGGATCTGTGCAATGCGATCGCAGTGCAGCTCGTCAATATTCACAAATCAATGCCCTCTATCCACTTCACTGATCCCATCCAATATTTCGATTCATTCCATCAAGAACGCTACCATATTTTTACCGATCGGATCGTATCATGTTGACTCGAGAACGGTATCATCTTGTCAATATCATAACTGTTATTGTATTTCGTTTCCTGCACTGGTCAACAAAACTCGAACCCTCCATCGAAACCTACATGTCTAATCAGCATTCTCGAGGATTACACTGCGCTATTGCAATAGCCCAGTGGATTTTTGCAGTGCAATGTTCCGTTCTGGGTTCGGTTCCGGGCTTGAGCACAAACTTTCTAGAATTATATTTGGTTTTAGCTAGTTAATGATTCGGATGAATGTGATCAAATATGAATGAGTACTCTTCACTTGAATCAAATGAAATTTATCACTGTAGTCGGAATTCGAATCTGTTAAGTAAAGGCCATCCTGCGACTAGCGATCTCATTGATCCCATTAGCTCAGTGGGATTTTTGAGCGCACTGTCACAGATTCCATTGCTGTCTCGAGTTCGATCCCGGCCATGATTCATTATTCCATTTCTAATATCAAGTTTGGTTAGGGATAGTTATACCATTCTAGGAATTCGTATGTTCGTATAACGGTAATCGTATAAAATCAATTGGAAAATGGTGGCTGGATGGAATAACGTGTTCGTTACCTGAAACAACGGAATGGAATATATTGGAAGATGATCATACGAGTGTTGAGCTGAGTGTATCTTATCAAAATCAAACATCGTCATCCACGTTGTATCCATTCGCAATCAAGAATTTCATTGTCTACGATTGCTCAAAACATTTAACGTTAGTTCACTTTTTGAATTTAGTTTTGATTTTGAATTTTATTCCCATCCGAACCAATTGTGTCTGAACAAACGAATATAATTTCAGATGTTCATCGTGTTCCACATCTCGATGGAATTGTAAATGGTGTTTAGATGAGCAAAAGTGCTCATTTACGGGGGACAGTTGCGAGGTGAGAACGACCGTTGATAATTTCAGGATATGATTGATGTACAACCGTTAGTTTGATCTACGGCTATAACTTTGACTGGCCTCTATCTCTTTCCAAGCTTGATTTATTGAAGTGACCATCAATATTTTGGATTATAAATCGTGACGGAAACTGAACTACCGATCAATTCCAGGGTCATTTATCATCGGAATGTCCTCGAATTCGATCGTCGATAAATCCAGAAATCCTGATTGCTGACGGCATGGAACAGAGTATATCGTTACCAGTATTGAATGTGAATGCGATTGAATCGAAACAAAATAAATTCACGTGTCAAATTCAAATTTATAATCAACCGAGAATGATTTTGGATGCAAAATTGGATATTGACCGAGTGTTGTGTGATAAATGGATTTATCAATATCAAGAAGCAATTCCAAAAACATTCGCAAAACTTGATTTATATAAGGGAACATCGCTTATTGACACTACTAACGGTCAGTTCCATGAACATTTTCCGTCGTTTGATTAAATTTAGGTAATCTTAGGAGTTGAAGGCGTAGATCA